CCCTTCTATCATCCCTCTTGCGCCAGTGGGCGACAACATGCAGGAAGGGCACGCCACGCGCTGCAGGCTAGCACACGCCACGCCCGGCAACGTCTGTGCAGCGCTCGAGGGTACGCAGGGGTAGCGAGAGAAGAGAGAGAGAGAGAGGAGGGACGGGGGGAGAGGAAGCAACGGAGACCGCAAGCGACGCGTGCGCAAGCGGTGGCGCCCTCACGTTCTCGGCATCTCCCACTGCGACACCTCGGTGGAGGCGTTGAAGTAGTAGTAGCACTGGTGGTTTTCGTCGGCCGCTGGCCCGCACTTGCTGGGCGGCTCGCGTAGGAAGAAGGCGACACCCAGAGTGCCCTGCGATTGGGGTGGTCGTGTTCGTCGCCACCGCCGTCGCTGTATGAACACGATAACGACGTGAACCAAAATTTGCTCACTTCCGCACAGATTTTCTTGGATCGGCGCTGGACTCCACTGCGGCACCTCAGGCGACAGCCCTGGCGTGCGACACCTTATGTGTATGCGCTGTGCGTTCCTCGAGTCGCATCGGTGATACCGTACGGTAATACCGTTCGTCGTCGCCGCCGTCTTCATCGTCTTCTGTTTTTCCCGTCGCCCTGCAAGTACCATGGTGCTCTTCATCAGTTTGGGTCATCGCCCACCTGTTCCGACAGGGGAACGCTGTCGGCCGCGGGGCGCTCCCCGAAAAGCCGTCATATCTCTTGCCAGTGAGGATAGCGCCCCTGAACAGAGCTAAGCCCCTTGGGCGGATCACACTCTCGACTGGACATTGGTTACGCTGAGGTAGGACCGTCTGACTCAACACAGAGGCGGGGGCACGAATCGACGCGCGAGACCGAAAGCATCGAGCGCGAACTGCGCGCGCTGGCGTACTGCAAGGAAACTCGCTGCGAATGCCAGCACGAGAGCCATGAAAGTCCCGTGGACCAAGCATCCCTGAGCGTGGTTGCGCGAGCACTTGCGAACGAACGTGTACACTTGTACTCTCTGTCTCTCTCTCTCTCTCTTTCTCTCTCTCTCTCTCTTTCTCTCTTTCTCTCTCCCAACCTCTATAGATACATACCTATACGACCACACTCCGTGCGATAAGGAGGTTCGGGGGGGGGAGGAACCGGCGTCTCACTCGATCGGTCTCACTATCGATCTCACTATCGATCTCACTATCGGCCTCGCTCGATCGATCTCACCCGATCGATCTCCCAATCGATATCACTCGATCTATATCATTCGATCGATCTCACAATCGATCTGACGATCGATCTCACAATCAATCTCTATCGATCCCTCTATCGATCTCTTAATCGATCTCACATTCGGTTTCACTGTCAATACCACTATCGAGATCACAATCGATGTCACAGTCAACGTCATTTTCATCATCATCTTCATCATCATAATCATCATCACCATCATCAACATCATCATCGTCATCAACGTCATCAACATCAGCATCATCAGCATCATCGTCATGACCATCATCATCGGGACACCATCATCATCAACTCATCACCATCATCATCAACATCATCGTCATCGCCATCACAATCATCATCGGGACACCATCATCATCAACACCATCATCAACAACATCATCATCCTCGGGACATCATCATCATCAGCATCGGAAAACCACGACCACCATCATCATCACCATCATCATCATCAACATCATCTCATCAACATGAACAACATCATCAACATCATCGTCATCATCATCATCATCATCATCGGGACACCATCATCATCATCATCAGCCACATCATCATCATCAACATCATTATCGGCACACCATCACCATCGTCACCATCATCATCATCACCATCATCATCACCATCGGGACACCATCATCATCATCAACATCAGCATGATCAAAACCATCATCACCTCATCATCTTCCTCATCATCAACATCATCATCGGGACACCATCATCGTCATCATCCTCATCAACATCATCATCATCATCATCATCGGGACACCATCATCATCATCACCATCATCATCATAATCATCATCCTCATACTCATCATCACAATCATCATCGGGACATCATCATCATCATCGTCATCTTCATCATTAACATCATCATCTCATCATATAATCATCATCATCATCCGGGCCATCAACATTATCATCGGGAAACCATCATCATCATCAGCATCATCAGCATCATCAACATAACCATCATCGGGACACCATCATCACCACCACCATAGCCATCATCATGACCGTCATCTGCCATCATCGTCATCATCATCATCATCGTCAACACCACCATCATCATCATCCTCATCATCATCACCATCATCATCATCATCATCATCATCGGGACACCATCATCATCACCACCATCACCATCATCATCATCGTCAACATCAGCAACAGAATCACCATCATCATCATCGTCAACATCATCACCATCATCATCAGCATCATCATCAGCATGGTCATCATCATCATCATCAACAACATCGGGACAACGGCGGGGCACCGGCGGGACACCGCGCGGCACCCGTTGCCGGAAGGGAGTCGTTTGGTCCAGCTGCGCCTCAGCCACGGGAGACTTTCCTCTCGCCCGCCCACGCAGCTTCGCCTCGCCCGCACGCACGGCACGCACGAACACGAAACCGAAATCGATTTCCCAGTAGGGGGGCTCTTCGTTCCACTTCGATCTCACCCCCCAACCTCCGATATATATATATATATATATAATATATATATATATATATATCACTCGTACCCAGAGGAGTCCAGCCGGGCCCCACCAGACAGACCTAGAAGGGCGCTCGAGAGTGCTCTACAAGGACCTGGGCAGCACGCCGTACATTGTAGTGATGCCTCCCGAGAGCCTCCCCACTGTCGAGGGGGCCAGGGTCGGGGGCGGTGCGCACAACATTATATATGTGGTAAGCCCGCACAATCCTCTCGACGATCTCAGGCGTAGGGTGACCATCGAGCCCAAGACGCGTAGAGGGACAGTCAGGAGGCGAATCGGGATGGTATACAAGCCTCCACAAAACTGGGCAATGAAGATAGCGCAGCATGTCGCCACGGCACTGAGCACACTGGAATCTACACAAGCCAATCTCTGACGAGTGCAAACGCGCGCTAGTGAGCCAACCTCCTACAATCGCCTTTAGGACCGCACTCTGCCATGCTGGGGGGGGCCATTCCGAATGAAATCTCGGCATCCCAAAACGATTCCGAAAATGTGAGCTCCCAAGAGGCCATACGTTTAGCGAGGGCGAGGTGGAGGGCGTCGGGGTAGAGGGAGAGGCGTAAGGAGGAGGAAAGGGATCTCTGCACTCTCACGCGCCCCTGCCCCGAGGCTTCGGCAAGGGCAGCAAGGGCGGCGCGGGCGGCCGAGGCGTGAGCCTTCAGTGGAAAGGTGGCCTTGCCGGCCTCAGACAGGTGGGCCGCAATCGGTTTGGCCCCCCAGAACGCGGGCAACCACCAGCCAGAGCCTATCTCCGCCAGGCTGCCGAAGGCGAACGTGGTCTCGTACAGAGCCTTGCGCAAGGTCGACCAGTTAGTCGCAGCGCCCATGGCCGCGCGCATTCGCGGGGCCAAGCTGAGGACCTGCATGCTGGCTGGCCGCAGTGCCGACCAGCCCCCGATGCCCAGAAGCCCATCCAGCGAGAACGACTGGGGCGGGAGGTGCCAAAGCTTGTGCCACGCCCAAGCCTCGCGCTTGACCAGCGCGCGGGGCAGCGGCGCCAGCTGCGTCAAGTAGCTGAGGACCGTCAGCACGCGCGAGATGTAGAGCACAGTCGTGAGGTGCACAGGCGCGCCCTCACGGGCAAGGTCGCGAATGCGGTGGATCCCTTCGGCGCCCGCCTCCTGCCGCACGCCATCGATCGCGGCGCCTGGACCCAGGATGTAGCCGAGGTGCTTGGCGAACGGAACCACGTCCATCTGCTCCCAGCCTGGCAGCTCCTGCGCGAGCCACTCCTTGATGCTGGCCGCCAGCTCCTCGGCGAAGGCGGCGTTCAGGGGCACCACCTTGCACTTGGCCAGTTTCAGGGCCAGACCTGCTAAGGCCTGCGCCGCGGCGAAGACCCTGCGAAGGCGGAGCAGAAGCCTGCGACCCTGCAGGACCGCGCCCACATCGTCGGCGAAGACGCCCACCACGGAGGCCCCCCAGTGCGCCGAGATCTCCTCCACGTGGGCCACGAAGGGGTTCATGGCTACGGCCCACAAGGACCCCGAGAGCGGACAGCCCTGAGCGATGCCCGCCGTGACCATCATGAAGCGGCGCAGCTCGCCCTCCATGGACACGAAGGCCTGCGGCAACCAGCACATGCCCATGATGAGCTGGTAGAGGCCGCCCTGGAAGCCAGCCCGCAGCAGCACCGCGCGCAAGAAAGACACGGCCAGGGAGGGGAAGGCGTTGCCGAAGTCGAAGAGGACCATCAACGGCACGCGCTGGCCCCTGGCGGCGGAGAAGCCAACCGGACGAGCCGCGGTGTCGAGCAGGGTAATGTTGTCCAGGAAGTTGCGCCCAGGCAGGGATCCCCTCTGAGAGAGGGGGGAGTGGCGCTCGATGACGAACTTGATGAGATGGTTCACGCTGGCGGCCAGCAGCTGTACGTCCGTGTTCTTGAGGGCCAGAGGCCTCGTCGTGGATGGCGTCCGAGTCGGGCCCGAGGCAAGATCGTCGGCCTAGGCACCTTTGGGCAGGAAAACCATCAGGTGGTCATTGAGGTCAGGAGGTGGCGGGAAGCCCTGCGCGACCTCGAGACCCACCTGCGCCGGGTCCTCTAGAGGGCGCGACGACCCACAGCAGCTCCAAGCATCATACGGCAGCCCGTCTGGGCCTGGTGCCGAAGCGCGAGCCCTGCGCGCCGCGCGCTGAAGATCGCGAGAGTCAGGAAGACGAACGTCCTCGAGGCCATCTATCACCACAGGATGCTCGTCCAAGTAGCTTCGCACAAGAGGGTGTTCGGGAAGATCACGCTGAAAATATCGGCGACCAGTGCTTGCGCAGCTCTTCGAACACATCCGCCTGGGCATTCACGATCCTCTCAGCACCATGTCCCAGGCCATGCGAGACACCAGAATCAGGAAGACGCCGTCCCTGAAGTTTAAGTGTGCGCTTGAATGGAGTCCAGAGTGCTGCCCTCCGTCTGGTGGCACGCCTCATGGCGTTGATGTGCTTAAACGAAGTGCCGCCAGGAGGAGCCGCCTGAGCCCGCCGATCGAGATCAGCGAGACGACGTTCGCCGTAGATGTTCTGCTCGGCCGCAAACGCCTCAGCGAAGTCCGAGGGGTTCGAGAGGGAGA